ACACACACACACACACACACACACACTCTGTCTTTGCCTCGTGAAGCTGAAAGAAAATACGAGGGTCTGGACAATTAAGATCCTCAATAACCATCCCTTTTAAAGTAAACTGTTTATCCCAAATTCGAAAGGAAAAAAAAAAGAACTTGCACCTTTGTGTACCTGACAATTTACCGCACAAACTCATTGCTGTAAATATGAAAGGAACAAGAAAAAAAAAAAAAGTTTCAGATAACACAGTAGCAGGTCATTTCAATTAGATTACCTAAGCACATTACACTGTCGAATTTGGATACGAAAAACACCAATGATTTCTGTCTGTAAACACTACAGAGCAGTACAATTCTACACATTTCAATAAACAGAAATGTACTGAGCCAGTTTAGTTTTTGCAATCAAAGAAACGCACACATTTCCTGATTTGAATGTCCCTACACATTTAAATTAAGGATGATTCAACATTTCTAAGGATAATGAAGCTGCACCCAAAAAGCACCATCGTTAATGAAGGAAAAGGATCGAATCTTCAGCTGAACCTCAGAGCTCAGGCACCGACCAGGGTGAAGTCTCTCGGAAATACTTTAGTACTGAATTGGGCCGCTAAATGCTCCGATAATACGGTACTACTGAAAAAATACATACTTTGCGGAAGCTGTGGGTTTTCTACTACAATCCTAAACTCTTCACAGAGGCAAGGCACTTAAGAGGGAGTGGCCAGGAATCAGATATATGTTCTAACATATCTGAAAGGCTAAAGTCCAAAAAATAAAAAATAAATACTGTGTCGCTGAGGAATTCAGAACACATGTGCTCATCTAACAACTACATAATGTATATCTAAATAGTCACTATAAGATGGAGAAATCCATTTACTAAATGCCTTAGCATACAGTATGTGCCTTACTGATATTACAGCTGCTGGTTATGCCTAAAATGCATTCAAAGTTTGCACTTATTTGATTGAAAAATTTAAGTAACAATGAAGGTAATAATAACTACTATTTAGTACTATTTTATATGAAAACTAACAAGATATATACACTATACCATGATTTAACAGTAAGAAAAATGAAATATTCTATTATGTTTTTCACAGTACACACAAAAGATTCATACTTTAGCGTATTTGGGGAAAAAATATATAAATCTAAGGGGGAAAAAAAACAAAAAACTACAAAGCAGCTTAAAGCACATTTTCTAAAAGAAAAATTTCCAGACAAATTTCCAAGTCAACAAAGTGCTTTTAACAAGAAACGAATCCTCTTCACACAGCTAGTAGCAATAATGGCGTCGGGCCGATGATTTTGTTGCTAACAGTCCAATCAGGGCCAACCGACTATAAATGCCAAAAGCAATAACCAAGGGAAAATCTTTTAATGCTTTATGAAAATGGATAATCTAGCTTGTACAAAACAGGTATTGCATTTAAGTACTTGATTTGTATCAGTCAAACACCACTTATTAGATTCTAATGGAACTAATCAATTGAATCACTATATGAAATACTGAAACACAAAAAAAAATGCTATTTAGAAATCGTAAGCATAATAATTATAATAATAATATGTATTAGTAGTTCTTCAAAGGGCTAAATCATTAAATAGTACCTTGGATAGCTGTACATCACCACTTCAATATTTTCGTCTTACAGTAAGGACATTCCGTTTTACCAGACGCACAGTTCTGACAAAGTACATAATGTTGGCAAGGCTGCAGGACAATGGAACGATCATGCTTTTGGCAAACTATACATTTCTTTGACTGAAGCTGATATATTACCTGTGTTGAGAAAGAGAAGAGTTAACATCAGTCACACTTTGACAGATTCAATGCAGTGCGTCATGCATGACTGACTGACTCGTGTGGATGTTAAACCTCGTTGCCTACTCTTCCCCTTACTTGACGAGAAGAGTGTGACGGTCTACTTAGAGTGTGTGTAAATGTGACATGGTGACGTATGCGTGTTGGGACCTGGTCCTTCTTACCCCGTCTATGAGGTCTAGGTCAGAGCGCAGCTGGCTCTGGACGGAGCGGAGCTTTGGCAGAGGGAGCTGGTCCAGCTCACCGTAGCTGCGCAGGAGGGGCGTGTTGGGGGAGCGACACAAAACGTCAAAGTCTCCCTGCAGTTCCTTCAGCTTGCGCTCGGTGTCCTTCCGCTTCTGCTCCGCCAGCTGCCGCTCTGCCTCTGCCGATTTAGCTTGCTCCTTCGCTTCATGAGCATCTTTCTGCCACGCTTCGCAGGCCTGTGAGGGATACGTTTAAATAAGACGTTTCATCTGATGTTAATAACTAAACTGACACCTTCTGGGCATTTTTTTCAGGTTTCAAAGCTAAAGAACAATAGAGTGCTGCAGGGATGATCCATCTTTGTAGACCAAAATCTGGAAATGAGTTAGCATTTTTGCACTTCCTGTTCTTTCTTCCTAAAGTCGAGGTGTTTTTTTTAATTAAATGCCTGAAATAAGGTTTGTGGGTAAATGTGAAATATTTTCTCGTTTTGTAGCACAAAATAAAATACATCACTAATACCCCTTTGTGATTTTGTTAAGCTTTTGCTTGTCTTTAAAGGATTAGTTCACTCCTTAATTAAAATTTCCTGATAATTTACTTACCCCCATGTCATCCAAGATGTACATATCTTTCTTTCTTCAGTCGAAAAGAAATGAAGGTTTTTGAGGAAAACATTGCAGGATTTTTCTCCATACAGTGGACTTGAATGCCAATGGGTTGAAGGTCCAAACTGCAGTTTCAGTGCAGCTTCAAAGGGCTCTACACGATCCTAGCAGAGGAATAAGGGTCTTATCTAGCGAAACGATCGGCCATTTTCTAAAAAAGAAAATAAAAATGTATATACTTTTTAACCACAAATGCTCGTCTTGCACTAGCTCTGTGCATCCACAACTTCATAATCTAGCTTGTACAACTTCATGCATTACGTAATCATGTTGGAAATATCATGCACGGTTAAGTTCTTCGTCTGTGTAATTCGGTTAAGTGGCGTGACATGTGGCCAAGTATGGTGACCCATACTAGGAATTAGTGCTCTGCATTTAACCCATCCAAAGTGCACACACACACCGTGAACACACACCCAGAGCAGTGGGCAGCCATTTATGCTGCGGCGCCCGGGGAGCAGTTGGGGGTTCGGTGCCTTGCTCAAGGGCACCTCAGTCGTGGTATTGAAGGTGGGAGAGAACGCTGTACATTCACTCCCCCCACCTACAATCCCTGCCGGTACGAGACTCGAACCCGCAACCTTTGTACGAGTCCGACTCTCTAACCATTAGGCCACGACTTCCCTTAAAAAGGTAGGGTAGGATGAAAAGCTCCATCTCATTTTCTCCTTCAACTTCAAAAGCGTCTGACATCATTGTTTTAACTTTTTTTGTAAAAGGCGTTTGACTTTCTTTGGATGTTCGCTTTGTAAACACTGGGTCGGGTATGTCCGCCTACGTGACCTTTCCAACGTGATTATGTAACATTGTGGAAGAAGAGCTAGTGCAAGACAACCATTGTGGTTAAAAAGTATAGAATTTTTTAATATAATTACCAATCGTTTAGCTAAATAAGACCCTCATTCCTCGGCTTGGAACATGTAGGGCTCTTTGATGCTGCATTGAAACTGCAATTTGGACCCGTTGATCCCCAGTCCACTATATGGAGAAAAATCCTGAAATGTTTTCCTCAAAAACCTCAATTTATTTTCGACTAAAGAAATTAAGAAAGAAAGACACTAACATCTTGGATGACATAGGGGTGAGTAAATTTTCAGGAAATTGTAATTCGGGGGTGAACTAATTCTTTAAAAATTAAGTTGCTAACAGGTGGCTAAATGGGACAACAGAAGTTATCTGGGACATTAAATGTCATCACACCAAATAGGTAAACTCATCTACTCACAAGTGCTCTTTCACAGCCTCATTGCATTTATAATCACACCCTTGCAACCTATTCTAACTCAAACTTTCAGAGAAAAGGACTCAGAAACTTGGCAAAGTGGTAGTAATGTTGAAGTCATGCAACCGTAGTGTAGTTCATTTATAGTCAACGTTTAGCCTTTTACGTCTGGCAATTGTATTAAGGCTACAAAATTAATAGAAGTTGTGTTCATTTGTGAAGATTATCATGATGAAGAACGTGTAAGAATCATTAACTTCGGCTGGCCACAAATCTTAATTTCCACAATGGTCCAACAGCCAATGGAAAAATCCTATTGGCTTTTTGTTGAGGGAACCAGGGTGATGCCTACAAAAACACCTCATCACCACAGCGCTCTATAGCTTGAAGTGTCACTGCAAAATAACAGCTTCAATTAGCAAAGTGTCAGCCTGTCTTCTACAATAAAACTAGGCATGAATCTCTCAGAGATGACCTACAGGCCAAACTAAATGACTTCTAAGCATCACTCATCTCATAAGACCCATAAAAGCAAGCCAGCACATCTGACCTGCTTGACTTGGTGCCAGGCCTCCTCCCATTGCTTTATCTTGCGCTTGGCTTCATCCAGTTCTCGGAGGAGCCGGCCGATGTCTGCACTGCTGGAGCTGACCGTGCTGGAAGCAAGGCTGCTGAACACTGGAGACGGGCTGGGAGAGAAGCTGCCACTCATAAAGTCCCATATTCCCCCTGCTCCGCCATTCAGACCTAAGCCAAAACATCATTACATCAACTCAAATATTGACAAGACTGCGATCGTGATATGAAGTTTGGGAAAATAATTCCCACCTAAGGAGTTCTGCGTAGACGTGGATGTTCCTAGAAGGCCGTGCTCGGTTTTAACAGGTGGTGCCTGTGGCTGGCTCTGCTGGGAGGCCATTCCAGTGAGGAGAGACTGGGACAGGGATTGAGACAGAGAGCTGAGCGGGGAGGCAGAGAGAGATGATGAGGAATGCAGAGAGGAAGACCGAGCCAGAGAGCCAGGAATATTGACTGGAGCAGAGCCTCCTAATAACCTCTGTCCTATGGGAAGAAACAGTTTGAACATTAACTGCAGTGCATCCTATACAAGACAACGCACTCCGAAATCAACAGCTACAACAATTAATCTTACTTGTTAAACCAAGGCCATTGTTGTCTTGGTCCTCTAGCTCTTTGTCAAGGGAGGCAACATTGATGTCACTAAAATTCATGTCAAGTGCAGATCCTAAGAGCGAGAAAAGTCATCTGCGATTTAGTATCTTTGCAAAGTGGATATGAAACACAAGCTACTTAAAGAGACAATATTACATAAAGCTCCTAATTCATTTTCATTCATTCAAACGATAAAAAAAAAATAATAATTCTATACTTCTACTTCTGTATATAGTGCATTATTTAATTTTCTGTTTTTCTTATATTAGTGTTATAGTCCATCTCTACTGTGCTATTTCTTTGTATTAGAGCCCGACCGATATATTGTTTTGCCGATATTATCGGCCGATATGAGCCTGTCGCCGTTATATCGGTATCGGCGAATATGTCGCCGATATGAACATTTTTTTACAGAACATATAATGCAGATAAAATGCTTGAAATGGTGTAATACCGTAGTTTGTCAAGCAGAGCGCGTTACATTGTTTGCTACTGGCGACCTGGATGAAACACTTTAAAGCTCAAGTCAATGGAAAACCATTTAAACTTTGAAAGGCCATATCTCAGTAACGGCGCGGCGAATCCGCAACAAATTCGGGGGATCTCTTCAGCCCAAGGAACACTCTCGAACGTGAATCGAGTGTACGTCTCGAGGCCCTCTTTCGATTGAGACCACCCCCGCGTGGATAGCCCCCGGGGTTCGGGAGGTTAAATTTGCGGTCCGGCGCCGACCGATCTAGCGATCCCGGGGGGCTACCGACGCGCGGAGGGTGGCGTTCGAGAGGGCTGCTCGAGCTGAAGGGATCCCCCGAATTTGGTGGAGATCCGCCGGCGCGTTCGCGAGATAGTGACACCAGTCAACACTTTCACTTCAGTAAGGACTTGTTCAGGCAGCATTCACACGTTGTCTTATTCGACCGTAAGTGCCCTGCGAAGTGGACTTCACATGAAATTCCGCCATGATTCCAGTTCCAAGGGAACGTTACATTCAAAGGGCATTAAAGTGCACGAGACGTGAATTTATATTGTATTTATTTACAGAGGTAGGGGAGAGCGGGGCACAAAGTAACACTTTTTGACTTTCTCAGTTTGTGTAAATCCACATGGGGTTCAGAATACATATATTTTTTTATCTACAGTAATTTTACACTTGTCTAGTACAAATATGTCGCTTTATTTTATAATTACAGTGTATACGTTTTTCTTTATTTACCCTCAAAAAATGGAAGTGAAATGTGACAACATGCCCCGTGGGTGGAACACATTGTAACATCTGAGGGGCACGTTGTAACTTGACCATATAACAGCTTAAAATCTTATCTGATCGAATTAATAAAATATACAAGACAAACTAAAATATTTTGTTAATATATATATATATGTTACTATGGTAAAATAAATATTCAAACCACGTGTGTTACAACTAAACCCCCGTTACTTTGTGCATCGCACTCATCGCAAGTTTATTGTTAAATTGTTAAATGCCCTTACATATCTCTGTCACGTCATTATAAGTGTTTGATCACCACATTTGAGTGATCATTGCAAAAAATGTGTTTATGTATATATATTCTGTATTCTATATATAGTACCAGTCAAATGTTTGGACACATGAATGGGAAAGTGTCCAAACTTTGGACTGGTACTGTACTATAATATACACAAAGAATATCGGCCGATATATCGGTATCAACCTTTTTTTTTTACTCCCTAATATCGGTATCGGCCCTAAAAAACCCATATCGGTCAGGCTCGGTCTGCACTATCATGTATGTTTGCATTATGTATTTTCTTCTGCACTGGAAGCTCCTGTCGTCAAGTCAAATTCCTTGTGCATGTAAACATACTTGGTAATAAAGCTCTTTCTGACTTGATGTTTTGTTAAACTTCAAAAGAAAAACTTGCAGTGATTAAAAGGCTTGATAATTCAGTTATTCATCCTGCAGCATACAATTCATATCCACTCACAGTCTATAATAACCATACACCAAAGGCTGCTTTTGGGCAATAGTCATACATTTAAGTTAAATTTGCGTAAAGGCAGTCGTGAAGGCAAAAGCACTTACCATCCATTTAGCTGTGTGCTGCTGAGTCACTGCTGCTGCTGGTGAGTTTTAGTGGACTCACTGACTTATGGCTAATGCATTGCCACAAATACAGCTTCCACTTCACTAAACGCTCTGCATTTAACTGCACTGCCTTATCTGGGCTGAGTCTGTCTCATGTACTTTTACTCTTGGATGTAGCGTTCAGCTGGACGGCTCTAAGATGAAAGTGCTGCAGGACTTACCTATTACTGACTCCACAGTATTGCTGCCTGGATAGAAAGGCGTGGCTTTTGCATTCATGGTTGATAAAGTGGTGGGTGACGAACTGTCAGATCCGATACTGGAGGCTAAGCTGGACGTGATGCTTGATGTTATGCTGGACGCGAGTGGGTTCACTACTGAGAACACATTGCCATGAGCCTGTGAAAGGAAGCAATGGGACACGAGTCAATGCCAAATAATAAGATCCACAATAAGGAAGAAGAGGAAACTTTAGAAAATCTAGTTTAAAACTCAAGCGACAAGATCTTAGAAATTAACTGTTCATATTTATGTTACTTTCATAAAGATTTGAAAAACTTTAGGCATAAATTAAAAATGTTTTTCCAAATATTAACAAGTGAGCACTGTGTTGCAGGTTTGTTACCATTTTATGTTTGAAAGAAATGACAAAAAAAATCTGCTTAAGTAATTAATAACAGACTTTTTTCTTGATTATGATTTCAGGACAGTTGTATGACCAACTGTTGACATTTCTGCCTCTATGGCCCCCAAAAATATCAAAATAATAATTTAATGAATTTGAATGCGTTTTTGAATGTGTGTTTTCCACTGTTATTTTAGTATAATTTAAATATACTATTGTAGTACTTTTTTAATATTTTGAGTTAGCTTTTCTTTTTCGATTTTTATTTTAATATTAAAGTTTTAGCAATTTGTGCTTTTGACATTTTATTTTTATTTCAGTTTCAGTAATGTTAGTACCCTACTTTCCAGAATATAAGTTATATTCCAAAGCGACTAATATTACGCAATTAATGTCAAGTACAGAAAATATACACAAAGTGCACACATTTGGATTTGTGTCAAATGAGAGAGGCACGTGAGCCCAACTTTGTTAGTATAGCACATTTCCCACACGCCAGTAGCTACAATATTGCATCAAATAATGTTGTTTATGCTTGACGACATGCGGTTTATAATGAATGCCACTATAATTTATTTTTGCTTTATTCTTATATTTTTCATTCCTGTTCTGTTCTGAATACAGTCACATTTGAAGGATGTGTTGTAGACTGAGGGTAAATAAAATACATGTTTATAGCATGTATAATATTTGTAAATGTTTAGTTTTATTTACATTTACATTTATGTCTGAATGTAATAATAAAAAATAAATAAAACCTTGTACAACTTATCTGTATTTTTTATCTCAAGAATGCAGACCCAGTGCACCTTATAGTCAGGTGTGACTGGCTTTCCAGAAAATACAGTACTTAAACTCATTTAGTTTACTTAGCTGCCAAGGCAATATTTCTTTAAAACTTTCCTTAAATCTTCCTTAAGTTTTTCATCTAATATTTATATTTTATTTGATCATTTCAATGAATGAAAAAAATTGTTTTAGTTTACAATAACACTTTTGAACAATGTTACTTCAAAAATCATCTGCAAATACATACATATTTTATGGCACTATGTTCAAAAAAAAAAAAAAGTAACGTTGGTTTCATCCTCATTTCTTGGAAATGAGGATGAAACCATGAAATGTAACACGATCCAATGCTCCAATCACTTTATACCTTATACAATCCTTACTTGTAAGGTTGTAAAATGCGTGAATGTGAGGACTAGGTTGCTTTACCTGTTTGTCTTGGTCCATTAACTTTTGATTATTTTCCCCAGACAGGCTTTTCTGGTTCTTTGCCTGAAATCAGATAATACATCCTATCATGTGACCTGATGTTGTTAAGGCAACCAGGGCTGCTATTATATTGGGAATTGCTACCTGCTCAGAAAAGTATGATGCCCTTTAAAGTTGTTTGTGACAGTATAACATACAGCGTGCTTCGTTTTGATATTTTATGATTACCACGATGTGGTCATGTGGGTGTTGTTCTCCGATCACTACAACATTAAAATTATTTCAGAACTTAGCACATGAATGATAAACAAAAAAGTTGACGTGTAATGCATTTCAAAGCAGACACTGTTGCCACACCCTCAATCTCAAAGACTGAAGTGAAGCTTTTCAACAACAACAACAGCAGAGTATTGACAACTAAAGACAAGTAGCTTCCATTTGGCAACAAACCACTAAAAACACACAAGCGAAAAGTGGTGAGTACAAATGAAATGACCCAAAGGCAAAGAAATCAAAGTGAAAGCTTGCAGTGTGTGTCAGGCCTGCAGTCCTGCAGGAGGTCCCTTTAGTAAGGGCTAGAGATAACGACCATGTGTACCTGATCCTCCCGTTCAAAACCCGGAGCTTTGGGATAGTTAGACGTCGGAGAGGAAACACTGGACGTGGTGGAATCTGAACAAAAGCTACCATTAGTAAAGCATTTTGGCCTGCTGATGGGTCCGATTGGGGACAAAGAACTGTTGCTCCCTGAGCCTGGTGTTACAGTTGGACTATTAGTGCATGAAACCTGAAGAAGAAAAGCACAAATCAGCTAAAAAATTTGGTTTTGGAGCCAAATAGGTGATTTTTCTTTGTTGATTAGGTAGATCCAAACGTGAGAGGATTTAGCGCACAATAACAGAGAAGAAAATGTTTGGTATAATGTCAATCAAGAAGGATCTGAGTATAAAGGCCTGATTTGAATTTGAGTTAGTCTCCCTTTTCAACACAGACTGCAATAAGCAGAAAAGAATGCAAAGCCAGCCAAAGTCAATAAAATGAAACACTGCAGAAATGAAGAGAAAAACAGTAGCTCTAACAACAGAACAATTAACTGCTTCCTAAATTAAGGACATTTCTCTACCCCAGATGTAAGACAGATGATGGACAGGTGTGTGAAGGTGAATGCAAACATACGCTTCCTGTCTGGCCGTTGTTACTGCCGCTGCTGGTGATGGAAATCGTGTTCCCGCTCCACTCGCTGACTGGACACTCTGGATATTGTGGAGAGCCCAGCTTGGACTGAGAACCCGACTGCATTGCTGTGAGCAACGTGCTCATGGTCTCCTCTGTGGAAGGAATTCCTTCACACACAGACACACACACACACACACATAAATAGTAATTAGAGTCATGAACTTTGGGGTGCACGATTTGATGAGGGGAATCAAATTGTGATTTGATATTTAAAGGAGACTTTAAAAAAAAAAAGAAGCTCCAGGTTGGCTTTTGTAACCATTATTATTTTTCCACAATATGGTTTAATAAAAAATAATGTAATTATTGTCCATGCAGAGGCTATGCCATTTTACTTATCCATGGCACATGCATTTTGGTTCAAACATATGTCATCCAATTACTTGTTTGCATTATTTAACCAATTTTTTATTATTATTTTTTGTAAGGTTTTTTTTTTTTTTTTGATAAAAAAGAAAGATGGTCATAGGAGTGTAAAATTAATTTTAAAACTTAGGGTTAGGGTATATGATTGATTTATGTTGAAGGACATGGCTTTTAATTACGTAAAACTTTGGATTTAGATTTATCGGCCAATATGTTGGTTATCGGCTATCGAATATAAATAATTATTGTTATCAGCATCGGCCAAAATGTTCATATCGGTGCCTCCCTAATTTATAATAATAATTATTTTATTTTACAGTTTGATTCTAAAAACTGCTAAATTTCATTACCATTCAAATACTTATGGTCGTCTTAATGTGTTTCATTTAAAAAAGTTAAACCACCAAGGTTTTATTTTTGCAGACAACCACAGGGAGCTTCTCTTTTGCTGATAACATCCAGTTTATAAGAGCTTCTCATTACAAGTTTAGGAAGATGGTTGGCTCATGTTGCGCTCCCAAATGCACGTTACAAGCAAAGAAAACTAAGAGCAGATGAGTTTGAGATGAGCAGATGAGTTTGTGTAGAGCAGCATTTACTGTGAATCAAGCCGCTGCCAGACACGTAAAACACCAGATTATGAGCTGTTCGCATGAAAAAGAACAAGTGCTGTGGTTCACTCTGAAACCTGCAGTGCATATATTTATTTAATTCAATCACAGCCTTTGCATTTTGGTAAACTGCCATATCGTGATTAGGGTTTCATTTTGAATAATCTTATAGTCATACATGAACTCAATGAAATCACTGCACTGCAGGTATTTAACTTCAACACATTGCAATCAATCATCATTATAAACATGCTTACTTTCCACATGTGCAAAAGCACAGAATGGACCCCTTGGACAGTATCCAGTTTGCCTCATGTCGTTGCATTTTGTTGATTTGTAAATCTTGAAACAATGACAGAAGTTGGTGAGATGATGACAATAAAAGTAAATCAAATAAATTATAAGTCAATCACTCAAGTTCAGTGTTGTAAAGGTGTGTCTGTCTCACCTCTGGGTGGAACTGTTGCTCGGTGCGAGAGTGGCAGTACTGACAGCTGTCCCCACTCTCACACTTGGAGGGCTCGCCCCATTCATCGCCATGCTTTACACTCGGGCAGGGCGTCGACCTGCCAAGACATCCAACAGCAGGGATTGAGTTTTAGGTTTAAAATAAAATAGTGATGCACTGAAATGAAACCAACATTCTTTTCTTTTTGGATGTGACCAGCCAATATAACAAATAATAAGCACACAAAATATCTACAAATGAAGACTTCAGATGCAATAAGTCCATTTACATGAGCATTTTTATCAGGCTCCTATGAAAATAACATTGGACATTTTTGAAAATAAGAAATTCGATAACTGACTAATAATCTTTTCTTTGCCATTAAAGTGAAATTACTGAACCTAAACAAAGAAGACTGATAAAAATGCTCATTTAAAGGAAAAAAATCTCAAGACTTAGAGGTTTTTGCATCTGAAGTCTTAAAATAATAAATATTCCCCACATAACATCACTTCCACTTCCCAAATGTGTTTTAGGTGTCACAGTGAGTCGACTTCTGCTTTATTTGGGAATATTTGCAATCTGAAGTGTTTCCATCTCACCTGTATTTGAACTTTCTGGGATTTCTTCTCCTATCTCTGCTGTTGTGATAGTGGGGACAGGCGTAGCCCTGCCTGCATAGACGTGGAGGCTTGGTGCACTGCTCAGTTTTATAGTTGGCCAAAACAAAATTGGTGTCTGCAGAAAAGGGGAACAGAAACTGAAGATAAGTTGACCTGATTGTCATTTTTGTAACCGTTACTACTGAAGTCTTGATCAACCTCTTTTTATGTCTCTTATACTGGTCTTGCATTAGTATGGGAAGAGTTTGTGTCACCTTGCCAGCGTGGGTCCTCATTCAGGGTCTTCTCAATCATGGCCTGGCTGGCCAGCACACCCGGCTGCAGGTCAGGAATTCCCTCCCCAGATCCCAACTGGCCATTCTGCAGAGCTTCCTGTGCCTGGATCTCTCTGTGAACATAATTATGCAAGTCAGCCCACCCATGCAACAGGACCAACACCAACTCCGAACGGCAGATGTACAGAAAAAAAAAAAGAAGAAAAAATGTAACGGCTCTTGATGTAACGGCTATTTCCACATACACGTTGCTAGGCAACTGCTGAGATGGAATATTTCTTATTTAATCTCTGGTAAACCACATTTCCAGTCCAGAATCAAACCGTTCGCGGCTGTGTTGTGCAGACTGCTCGTCAATGCAGGCATAATTGATGTCGTTAGTAAAACAACAAATACGGTATATATTTGCAAATGAGGTTAAGCACCCTCTAATAAGCACTCTTATGAACTGAATACATATGTAAAAACCTATGGTGCTAATCAGCTGAAAACTTGAGCAGCCACAAAAGCATTTTGCAACTGAAAGCAACGAACATAACAAAATAATAACTAGCGCAAACTGCTGTTGTTTTGGAATTCACCGTTTTTACTCTAGTTGGGGGTTGGGAATCCTGGCAGAATTTCCCCCATCTTTGAAAAACAGGAATTTGAGTGCCACAAGCCAAAGAACTTCCTTTTCCGACTAATGCCCTTTAGTGTAAGTTTCCCTTGTACTCGAAGAAATGCAAATAGTCCTCTCAACGATGTATATTAAATGATTCAAAACTGTAACTACACTACCGTTCAGTAACCACTTGATAAGAATTGTTAATGGTTTTTTTTCGTCTCTTAAGGTCACCTAGAATTTATTTGACCAAAAATTTAAAAAAAAAAAGTCATATTGCTGTTTTCTATCGTAATCAATTTTAAAACGTAAATTTCTGTGATGGCAAGGCTGTATTTTCAGCATCATTACTCCAGTCTTCAGTGTCACATGATTCTTCAGAAATCATTCTAATATTCTGATTTGCTGCTTGAGAAACATTTCTGATTATTAGCAATGTTGAACATGCTTAATATTTCAAGCAGTAACATTATAAATGTTCCTATAAATCTAAGCATTGTAACATTATAACATTGTAACTCAATGCATCCCTGATAAATAAAAGCATTAATCTCTTAAAAATCATACTGACCCCAATCTTTTGAGTGGTAGTGTATTTTATGGTAATGATTTAAAAAAATTTTTAGGTTGCCTGCTCTCAGTAAATAAAATTTAGTGCGTTTCCTATAGTAGCTGCACTGATAGTGGACTTGCTTTGACTGCAGGAATATTCCTCATTAATGCATGGGTCAGGGGCATGATTGTTTGCATATAGTTTTTAGGTAACATTTTAGTATATGGACCAATTTTCAACTATTAACTAGTTGCTTATTAGCATACCTATTATTAACATATTAGCTTTTTTTTGTGCTTATAAAGCACATATTCTGCATAATATTCTATATCCTTAATCCAACCCAATGCCTAAATTTAACAACTACATTACTAACTATTAATAAGCAGCAAATTAGGAGTTTATTGAGGCAAAATTCATAGTTAATATATTGTTAATGTGACCATTTTAGATTAATCACACTAATTCAACATGCATTCGTGAGAGAGTAAAAAACACTACCTTATGTCATAAACTGGCGGCCGTATGTCGTGTGGTCCGTGAGCGAAGGCGCAGTGGAGGCCGTTCTTCACACAATGCCCACGAGCATCTGTCTCATGGATGCAGGTGCCGGTCTTGTAGTAGCGTAAATGGTACTTGCGCTCTGTGTCACCGGTGGTCCGGTGTAAATAAGGGCAACTGCAAAGAGAAAAGCACCAGTGTTGCTCATCAGTAAACATGCTCAATGAAAGGAATACATTTTGATGTGTTCATTGAAAATAAATGACTAAATATTTCACGAACATGTAAAGATCAGTGCATTTCTCTGTGAACAACAAAGTGAAAGTAATGCAAAGAACTAAAAATGAATGTAAAACAACAAAGTCCTTCCCAATTAGTGCTCTCTTTGGAACGCTTTGTCTCGAAATACTGAGGCATGAGGCTTGTGTCTGCACTGCCTGAAGCCACAGAAAATAGAAAAAAAGACGTTGGACACAAACACACTATTGCTTTTTGTTGTCACAAAATAACAATCGTATTGGAAGTTAGAGCTGCACTAACCTGTCTGACAGCTATTTCTAATATAACACAATATGACTGAATGACAGTGTGATATACAAGCAGACAACAAACTTTTTGATTTCTTTATGCTAAAACAGATCATCAACATTGCTGTCCAAGAACTCATTTTATTCCTAGCATAATACACTATAAATAGTGCTTCATGTATTATTTCCACAAACAACGTGCAAACGAAGTAATCTGGCAAACATATGTTAAAAATACATCAACAAATATACGAATACAGTTCTGGCCACTACTGTTAAATATAGCATGTAAAATAAAATAAAAGACATAAAAAGACATCAAGGGCAACAAGCATCAATATCATGGCAAATGCGGAGCTTTCACAACTTTAAAACAGTCAAACACTTGTGAAATACTTCCCAGCTGGAAGTTATTTTGTAAGATATATTGGCAGACAGTATACATACGTAGTGTAAAGGAGAGTAACGTCTCTATGAAATAATTAAATATTATTAGTGCATGCTTGGTGTTATAAGCCACAGCACAAGAGTCTAAATAATAACGAAATAAATCATTTTCAGGTAACTGCACTTTTACGTTCAAAATGTATATTTAAACTTGATTGAAACTGAGTGCAATACGAATTATGCATGCTGATACATGATACCATAATACAAACGATGAGATTAAGAGAAACAGGCATTTAGAAGAAGAAATATATGTTTGTTTTTTAAGAAAGGATTTAAGGCACACGGAAAACGGGGCTGTGACAATCCGAACAGCTCCCTGGAAGAGAGCAGATTTATACTGAAAATGCCACATACCCAATAATCTTCTCAAATATAGCAACTGCATCTTGTTCGGGTAGCAACAGTAACTATGGCAACATCAGTGATGTCACCACAGGACGGCTGCTACTGGATGAATGCTCGTGTGATCTGTGCCTATGCTGAAACTATGTGACATACATTGTCGGGGAGACTCGGCAGAGCTGCAGGACAAACCATTAAGAGTTATATTATAATAAAAACATTTACATTTAGTCATTTAGCACCGTGAATCTCAACCTTTTGGCGTACCGGACCCCAGTCCAATTCAGAACCATCCTCAAGGACCCCCAGAACAAAATTGACTCATCTATGTATCCTTTGTGAGGACCAAATGCAGTCAAGTATAATTCAAGTTAGTTGACTTGTCCAGTATTTGGCCATATCATCAGCTATATTGGATTTTTCTTTCATGGGAACATGTCATGTTAAAATATACTAAATGTATACAAAAATTCATACTTTATACGGACCCCCTGGCCTTACGTCAAGGACCACTAGGGTGAGAAACACTGATTTAGCAGATGCTTTTATCCAAAACAATAATAATAATCCAGTATCCTTCAGTTCAGGTGTAGGTAAAGAAAATAAAGAAATATATTTTGTCTAACGCTGCTGCCAGAATTCTGACTAGAACCAGAAAATCTGAGCATATTACACCAGTCCTCAGGTCCTTACACTGGCTTCCAGTTACATTTAGGATTGATTTTAAAGTACTTTTACTCGTTTATAAATCACTCAATGGCCTAGGACCTAAATACATAGCAAATATGTTCACTGAATATAAACCTAACAGACCACTCAGATCATTAGGATCGAGTCAGTTAGAAATACCAAGAGTTCACACAAAACAAAGGGAGTCTGCTTTTAGTTATTATGCCGCCCGCAGTTGGAATCAGCTTCCAGAAGAGATCAGATGTGCTAAAACATTAGTCACATTTAAATGCAGACTCAAAACTCATCTGTTTAGCTGTGCATTTATTGAATGAGCACTGTGCGATGTCCGAACTGATTGCACTGTATTTTATGTATATTTGTTTTCTTAAATTCATTTTAAACCTCTTAAAAAAATTTTTTAAATCATTTTCTAAGTTTTTAAATTCCTTGTTTTATTGTTGTGATTTTTTTCTTTTCTTTTATGTAAAGCACTTTGAATTACCATTGTGTATGAAATGTGCTATATAAATAAACTTGCCTTGCCTTACTAAAATAAACTGTTTTTTTTATGTCATATAGATGTTATAATGCAAAAGTTGTAAACATCACTGCACTGTTATGTAAAGTATGAAATATATGGATATATGAATGAGATGAGAAAAATCATAATATCCGTGGGTCCTCTATTAATAAATAGGTGTAAAATTATATAAAACATAATATAAAAATACGCTGAAACAAGCATCCACAATTAAATATTGAACAATGCCATTATTTATTAGTTTTTAATTCCTCATATTGGCAGATAATCTACATTATCTAGTCTACCCATATATTGTGAATCAATAATAAAAACACATTATACAATGACTAGTGTTGTACAATCATTAGTAAACAAAAAAAGTTGTTTAAGTAAATTGCAGATATAATCTATATACAATCAAAATGTTGACCTGATGAGTCACAGGATAATATGTCAATCTCTCAGAAATATCACCTGACTGACATCATACTACAGCATTCCCAAAATCAAAACAAAGTTGCCATGCCACTATTTATGGCTGGAGCGCCAAAACAATCTTATGGGAAGGACTTGGAAAGAATCCACATATGGCACCTGACTAACAGTTATGTCAGGTGGACACTACAGTAATTATGATCCATTTATAGAGCCTTTGAACTCTGCTGTTGCACAATTCCAGCAAAACTAGCTGTTTAAATACGATTTAATGACTAAGAAACTAACATAAGCTAAACTACAAACAAACAGCACATATTTAAACAACCTTTGGTATTGGGATCAATCAAGCATTAACTTCTAACTTGAGCACAGTGCTTTCACTGATTGTCAAACGAATTAACAGAGAACAGAATAAACAACTGGACTAAACTGGGACATGATTGGACATGACTGAGTTCTCCGGACTATCCTCCGAACTATAACGTGCTTTGTAAACACATGAGCTTTTATGAAGCGAGGGGCTCGTAAACGTTGTAACAGCAGTGAGCCAATCAGAAAAGTGTACGTGCACAGGAGAGCCAATCAGAAGGCAGAGAACAGGGGGCGTGTCTTTAGGCTCTCTAAGCGCAATACACAAGGAAGGCAACAAACATGACTCTCCACCATCAGCCTTCTGACCTTTTTTTCCAAACCGAAGAGATACACATTTCTGCTACACACAGGGCAAACTGGGAACTGAGAGACGAGTCATCAGGCAAAAGTGGAAGTGAAACTCGAGAAATGCACACACACACCGAGCGAAACACAACACCGTGAACAGCAAAAAGATTACAGGAGAAAGCCATATACCTCACGAGGGAGTAAAACATTAACAAAGTAAACACTATAGTGAATTTACAAGGCAGCAGTCTGCTAAACGACATACTTTATAAAGAGGGCGTGTGCTACACAGAACAATAAGACGAGACAAAAACACTACAGCGTGCTCATGATAACTACAAAAAGCTGATTCACAAAACGCAGGCATTTCCAAAAGAGTAGTTTTGTGATATATATTATAATTACTAAAACGATATTCGTTTCAAGCAACACAAAAATTGCCAAACGCAAAATAGACTACGTTACGTGCACTGGCGCGAAAACATGACAAATGACTTCTCAACTGCAGTGTCGATCAAACAAAAAACAGTTACTTACTCGTCTCCATCGGGACATATTCCTGTTGTTTCATCATACTTCGTGCAATATACATCTGGGCTGTAATTAAAAGTCCCGTCTCTTCTTCGTATGGGTCTCCGTCTTCGCTGATTTAGAAAATGCCAGTGGAAACACGTAAAGGGTCTATGCTGTGTGCATTTGTGCTGCAAAAACAGTGGGCACTGCTCGGTCCTGAACTCCTTCAAATATCTAGAATTAAAATGGGGAAAAGCTTTATAATCAACCACCTCCGCGACAAAAGCTTCACTTGGGTGATGTATAAACAAAGCAGTATTGACAGAATCACACGCAGCAATGTGAAACCTCGTTCAAAGTTTGGAGCTGCGGTGGCTGTTTACACTGCGTAGTTTCTAATACGCTAACGTTACCATTCCCCAACAGAACTAGCCCTAGATAAATAGTTTACGTGGTAAACACCCTTTTCAGCAACTGTAAACATACAATGTTCACTCTAAGTGTTTATAAACATCTAAATGGTAACGGAATGTGTTTAATTGTTTTAGAAATCAACTGTGAGCTATTTATCAAGGCTCTCCAATACAACATTAGAAGCTCACGCCAAGTACTCCGCGATTAGCGTACACAGTTACGTAGAATCTTCGACGTACGTTCCATTCGAACCAACGGTGCGTACGGCGGGAAAAGAGCGTAGAGTAAGAAACACGGGCCGAGGAAGGAGGCGGATGCAGCTAACAAACCAGCCTGTTAGCTACATCTAGCGAGCGTCTCGACTCGCTCGTCTTGCTGCTGTGCAATGTACATGTCTTCAGGCTTTTACACAAGCAGCCTTTGAGCAAATAAGCGAAGAGCAGCAGCTTAAGTTTTAAAAGGCACGCAGAGCGGCTAAAGCTTTGTACGGGCAACGTTTAGAGCAGACGAGATTGTTGATTTCATTAACATTAATATGTGAGAGCCGCATGTATTCGGAAGAATTTACAAAAGGAAAAGCACCATTTTAAAACGCACAGGGGAAGCAGCACGCGTTACAAATACAAACCCGACAGTCGAATATCGAGCAGTCATCGCGTTCCGCTGAAACTTATTTTCGTCCGTTTAATGTGTACTCTACTTACGTATAGTGGGTTGGTTTCTCGGTTTGAGGAGAAGCGCTCACCACCGTTTTCGAAACCGACGGCATTTTCAGTCAAAACAATAATAGCGCGTGCGCGGGGACCCTCTCGTCTACTCATGCTCTCGCGCGCCGCTGCAAGGCCAATATGAGCAACTGGCGGGACAAACAAACAGAAGACAATGGCCATGCTGCATACTTAGCGGCACTGCTATAATATGCAGCGATCCCTCACACAACACAAGTGACTATTTAGACCAGTGTTTCCCAACCTTTTTTTAGTCACGGCACCCTTTGGAAATTTTAACAAACTTATGGCACCCTACAAAATTAAATTCGTCACAATATTTGAATTTGAAAAGTATGCAGAATGTGTCATATATATATATATATATATGTGTGTGTGTGTGTGTGTCAGATATTTTTAATATTATAAAAAATGTTGTCCATGGAGGCAATCAGTAGGCTAATTTCTAATGAGGAGACCAATTTATTTGACAGATTTTAATGTAGGCTTTTATTCATATGTAAACATTGTTTAATTACCATTATAACTTAAACTATCTCACACATTTTTGCCCACTCGGTGTTTTTTTATTTTACAGTGGGTTAATTTCGTTGCAGTAGCACGAGATAGCTTGATTTCAAACTTTGAACTGAATAAAAAATGACAAGTAAGCAGTCAGTATTAAAATAAGAACAAATAAAGAAATTAATAATGATAGCACAAATAAAAAATAACGACATGCCTACAAATGAAATAAATTGCTTTTTAGTTTTTCAGGTCTAACAGTAGGGCTATTAAGAGGTTTCGTTTTTTTTAACCAATTATCCAAGTAATGTTTAGTCCTAGAAAGCTATTATTATCAGAACACGTGAGCATAACATAGCGGATAGCAGATCAGTGAATGAGAGGGCAGCATTACCAGAGTTGCCCATATACCCCACCATGTTACAACACATTGGGGCTATTGCAGACAGAAACAATACTGTACTGCATCCATGTTTCCTGTCGGCTCAGTGTTTGAGTGGACTTTGCTGTTCCGATGAGCTTGAACGGTATTCGAGTGGAGCGACTGACCGGAGCACACACACACACACACACACACACACACACACACACACAGAGCAGATGATACGCAGAGGGTCACACCAGTGAAAGTGAAACCTGAGGTGAACTCATTTTCGGCAGCCGGAATTTCGGTGCATCTCTAATTATTGGCGACATCAGAAATGGATATTATATAATAGATGCTTATTTGAACATTTTAGCAATTTAAAAATATTAAAAAAGGAATTTTTTACACGGCACCCCGGTTGGGAAACACTGGTTTAGACTGCAATGTGTTCGTTAACATTATTCAGAAATATAAAAAACAATGTAATAAAAACATAAAACAATGCTTAAATAGACATTTATTTATTTATATACTCTTTTTTTTAATTATTATTATTATTCCGAGAGTGCAGCGCACGTATAGTAGTAACTGTTTTCGGGTTCAAGACATTTTTTTTTCTGTGGTTTGAGTTGCAATTAAATGTATCCCAGATAGCAAACAGACGTCGATTCAACGCTGATTCTATGTCAGTTCGCTATCTTGGATGTTTTTGAAGGTAAGGGGGGAAAAACATACAAACAAGTTCCTAAAGTGAAATGGAAGACAATATCTAAAGTAGTCTACTTCAAGTCTATCTTTCTCCACCACCCGTTTTATCTATTACAAATAATCTTTGTTTTCTAAGTTATGTGAAAAAAAATAAACGTAAACAAATCGCTAAATGTGAGATGGAAGACAATGTCTAAATAAAGTACTCCAAGCATCTTACACCAGCACCCGTTTTGCCTAATACATTCTTTATATTTAAAATAAAAGTATTACGCTCTCGCAAGAAATATTCTAAAAGATAAATAAAGCGAAACAACGTAGAGGAGGAGGCTGTGTTACGTTAAGCCAATGAGATGCGAAGACGTAACATGTGGGCGTGTCTAAGTGGCGATCCGCAGGAATATATAAATAGAAGCCCAGCCCTCATGTTTTCAAATACGAGACACTCCGTGGGGGAAGAGCGTGGTCCAACGAGGTTTGTGTAAGTCCGCTTTGACTCATTTGGTAGATATTTAGGCATTAGAGAGTCGGACTAGAGCTAATTTAAAACAAAACAATTCGTCGTTCTCAGAGTTGATCGGATTGTCGCTTTCTCCTGCTTCCTGATCAATCATTTGCTGGCTAATTTGTAGCTTGGATTAAGGTTTTAAACGCTCTTGGTTTAAAGTTCATTTAAACATCATGTGGCGGTTTAGACACGGTAAATGTGTGTGTTTTCGGCGGGCTTTGAAGCAATACGTGTCATCTGATAATGCCCTGCTGGTTTGTCAGCGTACGGTTTTGCCCGCCATTTTGGACAATGGTTTGTTCATCTTGTAGCGTTAACTTACTTGAAGAGGTCGAGTTGCCGGTGTTGTGCCGAATGCTGCATTCAAATAACTTTCCCTTGTGCCTCTGCACACAATTTCCCGCCGTTTCTAAGTTATGCAACCGTTATATTTCTGGTTGAAAGGGAGTTCCGTGGTGGGATGGGGTGTAATATGCAGGATTTGAGGGGGAGCGTCTCTGCTGCAGATGGAGGCTTGATGCTGGTGTCCCAGAGTAGCGTCTGGTGCAAATACACGCATGGGATGCTTGTTTGGCTGTGTTCAAGGCCAATTACGCATGCGTTTTAGCCGTTTTATATAGTTCAGAATTTAAAACGCGTTGTAGGCACTTTACATTGTACAGCTTTATAAATGAAAACGAGTATATGCGGCTTTGGAGCGGAAGTGGTAAAAGCAAACCGCAAGACCCGGATGATTCCGCCATTTTAAGTCTGTTAGATTTCCCCATTAAAATGGGAATAATTCCATATTTAAGTATTTTGTTTTTAATTCCAGAGACTGAGAAACAATGGCTCGTACCAAGCAGACCGCGCGTAAATCAACTGGAGGAAAAGCGCCAAGAAAACAGCTGGCGACTAAAGCCGCTAGGAAGAGCGCGCCCTCTACTGGTGGCGTCAAGAAGCCCCACAGATACAGGTGCGTCTGAGATGCTGCTGTGATGAGATGCACCCTTGCACATACAGGAGAAATAAAGTTGATTATGATAACGGGTAAATCATACACTTTTTTTTTTATTTTATTTTTTTTCTCTTCCTTCTCCCCTCCCCCACTTCAGGCCTGGAACTGTTGCTCTGAGAGAGATTCGTCGTTATCAGAAGTCAACGGAGTTGCTCATCCGCAAGTTGCCATTTCAGCGTTTGGTTCGGGAGATCGCACAGGACTTCAAAACTGATCTGAGGTTCCAGAGTGCAGCCATTGGTGCACTTCAGGTGTGTAGCTATTATTATTATATTTAAAATTATTCTGTGACTGTATTGCAGTGTGATCTACAACATGCTCACAGTTTCTGAAAGCTTTAACAAACTCTTCCTTGTCTATTTATTTATTTTTTTTAAGGAGTCGTGTAAGTAGAGGCGGCGCAACTGTTAATGACATGTGAATAATCCCGCCCACTCTAAAGCGGTACTGAACCGTGCCGTGCCGTACTGAGCCGTACCGAGCCGAGTCATAACACGCAGTGGAAAAGCGCCAAAAGTAGTTTCGCTTTCACAATGAAACACACAGCATCTTCACGACATGGCGTCTGCGGCAGCAACAATACTACAGCGAGAATAAAAGTTACGCCTTCTTTCTTTGCGTGAACATTTGAGCGGCGTTATGCAAATCTTCCCACATAGTGACGTAGACATGTGGGGGCGTGTTAGAATTAGCCGTTTTATGTAGGCGAGGTTGACTCTTAACTTTTATAAAGAATGTCTCTTTGGATTTGAGACTTTAGTCTTTGCAACTTTACAGATCTGCTTTATGCACCAAGAGCTTGTAACACTCCAAAGAGAAAGGAAAAATTTAAATCGCATCATATGACCCCTTGTATATTTGCTTGTCTATATTCATGGATGTGCTTGTTGTTGGCGTCCTCTTGTGGTCAGTGGTGAATTTGCACATTTATTTATTTGTTTATTTAATATCAAAATGTTTTGGTTTAGTCCAGGGGTGTCAAACTCAATTCCTGGAGGGCCAGAGCCCTGCAGAGTTTTGTTCCAACCCTGCTCCAAAACACATACCATGTAGTTTTCAATTAGGCCTGAAGGACTTGATTAGTTAGATCAGGTGTGCTTAATTAGGGTTGAATCTGAACTCTGCAGGGCTCCAGTCCTCCAGGAATTGAGTTTGACACCCCTGGATTAGTCTATACCAGGGGTAGGCAAGTTCGGTCCTAGAGAGCCGCAGTCCTGCAGAGTTCAGCTCCAACCCACCTCACCTGCCTATAGCCTTAGTAATCCTGAAGACATTGATTAGCTTGTTCAGGTGTGTTTGATTAGGGTTGGAGCTGAACTCTGCAGGACTGCGGCTCTCTAGGACCGAACTTGCCTACCCCTGGTCTATACCATGTTATTTCGATGCATTTATTATTAGTATTTGTATTAGGTGCACTCTTGGACTGAAACACTCCTGTGCAAAGCTCTACTTGACCCTCTTGATGTTACCTAAGTTGCCTCTGTTCTTTCTCTCTTTTTTTCCTAAAGAAGATTTTAATATGTAAATGTAATTGTGGATCAGATCTTTTATTCATAGTCTTTCCTTAAGCATATGCATTCATTCTCACTACTTTAATTACCTTTGACACAACGCAGCCACCCTTTGGTGCTGGATGCTACAAGTCTTACTGTGTTTTATAAGCTTTCAGCTTATCATTCTCCTCCAAGCCACAATATTTCCATGGTATTTTTGTAAAATATTTATTATTTGCACAAATTCAGATTGGAAGAACTTGTTTTGCGCTCAAATTTATTATGAAGTATATTTGAGGTTTGTTTATGTGTGTGAATACAGACAGGAAGCATGTAAACACTGACTGGAAACCATAAGACAGCATGAGTTCTGATAAACAGATTCATTAAACCACATCAAACGAGAAATCTCACCGACAAATGGGACAAACATATGCGCTAGGACGTCAGACCCCTCAACCCTGAGCCCTGCTCCAGTCCCAGCTGCAGACACAGTCTCTGTCTCACCCTCTCTCCCTCGCCTCTTGCTCTTTGTCTTTCTCAGAGTCGTCCTGAGTCTATTTATGTGTATTTATACAGATACGAAATTAACATGTCTTGTTGACTCTTTCCCAGGGGATTGACTGTGGGGGTCTAGATTTCAGCTCTGTTATCTGGCATTATTTCACTTGTCTGTATCTTTCTGTGATGCTCACATCCTAAGGCTGTTCTCATCATGGATTCTCAAATCTCTGTTAGAGGCACACAACCTTACTCATGCCCTATATAGGACTGTCTGAGACACAAGTTTCCCAAGTCACTCTTTTGTTTATCTCTTTATATGTGGATTGTTTTTTTTAATGTAAATTTGTTAATTTTCCTGATCAGTTCCATACAAATTCATTAAAAATTATTCAAACAATGCTTACATATTTTTCCCAGCCTGGGCGGCATTGCAGCTGGAAAAACATTTCTTGGTTTTGCCAAGGCTGTCTTATTTATTTATTTATTTTATTTTTTTGCAGACTTGGCTGTTGCACTGGTCTATATTAAACAAACTCTCTGTATCAGCACCCAGCACTCCATACTGACATATTCTCATTATTGTCAACAATAGTTGCATTACTTTAATGACACTTGCTACGAAATACATTTTATCAACTGCATGTCAAAAACCAACAAATGGGTTTTAGATCAAACTGCATATTCTCCATTGATCTTAGTGCTGTCATGAGTCTCATCCTGTGTCTCCAGAGCAGTGTTATTTTAGTATTATTTCTATAATACATTGTAGTATTTATTTTTAATTCACTTTAATAACATTTTTTTTGATAATTTTAATTTGATTTTATTTCAGTTTTAGTAATTTACTACTTCTACTTAAACTTATTTTAGTTCAGTTTTTTTATGGTTAAAATTAATCTAATATTTATATTACATTTTATTTATATTAACAAAAAATGGTTTTAGTGTTAGTTAATAATAACAGCACTGCTCCAGAGTGAGTTTATGACTCAGATGATTAACTCAGAAAGTCATGTGACCAGAACCAGGGCAAAGACAGCAGCTTGGCCATCCTCATGTGTCAGGACACACTAAGAAGCCATTTCTAAATCTCAACCCAATTTTTTTTAGGTCCATTAAGATTGTGACTTGGATTGTGACATTATTTTCATGACAGTTTTTTCACACAAATCCAGACTTTTTACATTTTAGTGTTTCATAATTCACATTGGACTCATGATTCTCATTGCTGCAATACAGTAATTAAAAAAAAATAAAAAATCACTTACAACAACTTGTCTCCATGGCCAACAGGAACATTTCCAATATGCACATTTATTGGCTAAAATGTATCTAGGGTTGTGTACGTATAAAAGATGTCTACCTTTTCATAATATGATGGCCTTTAAAATGTGCCCTATATTAAAGCACAGTCTGGATTAGCTGTTTGTGCAGGCCAGTCAATTTCCTGTGCCATTTGTCATAGATAATAAACGATAAGTGATTTAAACCATTATTTTTATTATACTGTACTGCAATCTTGTTTTCCATCTAAGAAGGGAAGAAATCCATTGTGCAACAATATCCCCTCACCTTTCTAGTGTAGCGGACAGCTTTCGTAAAACTGACAGTGAGTGAACACCATTTTATATTATATTGTAAAAAATGGGGCTGTTTATTCATTCATTGCTTTTTCAGACTCAAATGCATTATATCATGCTTAATCCAAATCCTTATATTGATCATTTTGTATGATGTACTACTGCTCAACAAGAAAAAGAAAAAGAAAATCCCAAGAGACCAACTTTTAGATTATTATTATTTATTTTTTAATTCCTCATTTTCTTTTTATTTGTTTGTCTTTGTTCTGTTTTACTTGGGGAAAAGCCCTCAGACTGCCACTGTGTTTATGAATAATTTGAGTCATTTATTGTTTTAGCCCTGGGCATGAGAGGGCTCTCTCTAGGGGAGATTATCAGCTTCCTGTTATCAAGATGCTCTTGTTATCATGGCGTAATCATTTGTAATATCTGTATATGAAAATAGCGTACGTTCAAATGTTACTTAAATCATCCCGACACATTTTGGACAGTGAAACAATAATTTCAAGTCTTATTATGTATCTATATTAATATCCATACAGTCTCTAAACAGATTAGACCTTTTGGAATTCCTTGGAGTCCTTGTTTTTGCTGGTAGAGTGCACTCATGAGAAAGCGAGAGGAATGGGAATGCAACGAATGAAGAGTTCAAGAGCATGAGGATCAAGTAAACAGCAGCGCTGGACGCCCCACTTCTGAAGTCTTGAATAATGTGTTTATATCTTGCTATGCTGTCTGCACACCACCTGCCCACAGACTCCAACTTCAAGGAAACAGGAGCCAACACCTGGGTTTAGTGTCGCTAACACTTGTCCAAATGATCAGTAATCCACCAAATATGTTTGCATTGAACTGAATTTACTTTAATGTTTCCCTAATGATGTTTTTGTGTAAACCTAGTAATACTGCACATGAAGTTTACACGCTCGGACATTAGTACTGCTTACAGAATCCCTAAAATTGTCTGGGAGTGAATTTTACACTCTTGAAATTGTCGCAAGACCCTGTTGAAAAATCAGCATATGCTGGTTATGTATGTTTTGAAGCATGGCAGCTGGTTATGAGCTGGTATCAGCAGGTCATGTGCTGCTAGACCTAAGCAACTATCTCCAGCATAGGACTAGCTTATAACCAGCTCAGGACCAGCTTAAATCAGCTCAAACTAGCTGCCATGCTTCAAAACCAGACTGTCCTCCAACAAAAAATAACCCTATAGGTCGTTTGTGCAAGCGCCTTATTATGACCTACAGTATATTTACGTTTGAAAGTTTAGTGCCCTCTAGCGGGCGTAAAAATAATGACAGTGTCGTGTTGCGTCTGTCGTGTTTATTTAAATGCAACTTGTGGACTTTTTACATGGTCCAACCCGATCTCACGACAATTTGTACATATTTTACTAGGTGGCTAATTCATACGAATTCGTACGAATGACCACACCTAACCCCGCCCCTAAACCTACCCTCACAGAAATCATGATTTACAGTGCATATACATTTTATGACCACGTGCGTTCTCTGGGATCGATCCCATGATTGCATATTGTCGTGTAACGCAATGCTCTACCAACTAATCTATATGAAACCCAAATTATGGTGCAGAGTACAAAGTATTAAAGGGTTAGTTCACCCCAAAATGAAAATTCTGAATTAATTACTCACCCTCATATCGTTCAAAACCCGTAAGACCTTCGTTCATCTTCGAAACAAAAACTAAGATATTTTTGATTAAATCCAAGAGCTCTCAGACCCTCCATAGACAGCAATGCAACTGAAATGTTCCTAGACACAGAAACTTAGCAAGGATATCGGTAAAACAG